TCTCTCTCTCTCTCTCTCTCTCTCTCTCTCTCTCTCTCTCTCTCTCACACACACACACACACACACACACACACACACACACACACACACAGACCAGTCAATCTGTGTGTCTCCTACCGAACCCAATAGAACGTACGGTCATTGTCGCTGTATGTAGCCCAAAACTCGGCCCAAATACGCCTATACTGACCGCACATTCTTTTCTGTCGACGATTGTAGTCAAAGTCGTATTCAAAGTGCGATTCAGAGTACTAGTAACTCTGCTGTGGAGTTTTGTCCTCCGGCTCCATCTGTGTGAACTTCAGCGCTGCCTTGACCCCTGAGTTGTGGTAGGAAGCCTGCTGTCCTTTGAATCTTGTTGCCTTGTGTATGGTGCTTCTTGTTGTTGATGGTCTGCTAAGAGTAGGTGGTGTCGTTAAGGAAACATCAAATCGGTCAGGGGTAATCTGGTGATCCACATAACACTGATGTACAAGAACCAAGCTTATCATGACAAGTTTCACTGCAGGCTGCACAGAAATATGTGCGGTACATAACTAGGATCTTCGCACCCCCATCAGCCAGTGCTCCGCACAGTTCTCAGTGCTTCGAAGTTCGCACACCCTCTCAAGATTCCATTGGCTGCAATTTGTTTGGGGGCAAGGACGTCGGATGCCCGTGATGTTCTAGCACCGAGTGTGCGCAGGAGAGGAAGAGGATGATGGTTGACTGGACTACCCACAGCCTCTCTGTTCCTACCCCAGAGCTCTACCCAGTTGAGCTGCCACTCTTTGTCTCCAAGAATCAGAGTGTTGCTCTGACTTGCTCACACCTGCCATTCTTCTGAGCAGACCATCAGGAAAAACGAAACTCTTGCCCTTAGAACTCTGCACAACTATTTACTAGGGGAAATTGTGGCTGTGACACACTTTTAGCTTGAAAAAGGCAAGAAAGGACAAAGTGGCGCCGGTGTCACGATGTGAGTTGCCAAATGTCCAAGTTTAGCAGGGGTCGAAAACTGCGCCGGCCAGTCATGACCCGCAGTGGAACTTGGCAGATTTCGGGTCGCCCGTTGTTTATAAATATTGCACTTTGCGAACTGCTAATTTAAGTTTGCCTCTTCTGAACGTTGAGTGCGGCTTCAACGAACCTGGCCCGAAACGGAAATACCATCCTCATACACTGTGTGTGCAAAAGAAGGGGCAAGTCTCATCGACTTCTGCGCCGAATCCTCCAGAGTCCAGCCAATTTTGCGAGATTATGCGGTACAAAGGGCTTTTTTTTGGTCTGGACTCGGGAGGATTCCTGACATCTACAGTACAAAGGGCTTTTTTTGGGGATCGGATCACGACATACAACTCCACTGCAGCCCATAATACACTAACTGGAATCCCAAAAGCCTTCCGTTACTTCCGTACCGTAGACCTCGCGAATCCTCCCAAAAGCCTTCCGTACCGAACACCTCACGAATCCTCCCAAAAGCCTTCCGTACCGTAGACCTCACGAATCCTGCCAAAAGCCTTCCATACTGTAGACCTCCATATCCTCCCGAAAACCTTCCATACCGGTTTGGCGGACCGGACGAAACGCAGCGTCGGGTCGCTGCGCCATGAACTTGATGTGTATCATTTGAGTATTGGCGGTGCTTGATTTTCCAATCTATAACGGCCATTTTGATCGCGTTCGGGATGTCCGGGACATGTCTTCTTCCCTCTCTACTCCCTCTTCTTTCTTCTTTCTCCTTTTTCCCTCGTCTCTTTCCAGCTCCTCTCTCTCTCTTCACGGTCTGACCAAGCTGCTCAGTGTAATTTGTTTGAACTTCGCTGTTATGGACTACGTCTAAACCTTCCATACCGTAGACCTCACGAATCCGCCCGACCATACACCAAGTGTGCCCATTTGGTGCAGATTCGGCGCAGAATAGGCTTAGACTTTACCTTTCCCGTGCACACCTAGTGTATGAGAATGCTATTACCATTTCAGTCTCCGCAACTTTAACTTGACAGCACCCCAAATCAGTTGAAAGCACAACAACAAAGACCAACGAAGGACAAGTTCGGATCTGGTGTTGCTGATCGTCTTTAAGCCTTTGACCACAATTTGCCCAGCACGCCAGAACTTCTCTATCTGCCAACAACAACTCCACTTGCCCAGTTGTACAGTTCAGACTGTTCACTGCTTGCACACTAATCTTTGTGAAAACAGGAGAGAGTGAATTATGCGCTCATTAGACTGCCTCTCTGGAGAGAAGAGAGGGAAGAGGAAGGAGAAAAGGAGGGAGGAAGTGCCAACTGCGGTGCATGGCGTGGGGGGCATAGGCACTCACTTAGCGTCGGGGCCTTCGGCACTTTTTGCGCACCAACTGGCAACAAGATTGCCTGCACAGTGAACTTTCTTACATAACATTCCTCAACTGTTGAAAGCACAGCTCATCTAAAAAGAATTAAGTCCTGCTGCAATCAAGTCTGTCCTGTCTATTGCTGTGCCTCCTATTGAATAGACTGGTCTATCTATTATTCTAGCCTTCCAGCTACTGTTTATGCCAACGAAACACATCTCATTACATTTTGCGTTGTGCCTCCTATTCAATAGACTGGCCTATAAATTATTCTTCTAACCACAGGTTATGCCAAAGAAACACATGTCATAACATAGATCCCTCGAAAATGTTCACCATTGCATCGGAGCTCGAAATTTCTCGCTTAGCTTCGCTTTTTCACTACAGGTTATGCCAAAGCCAAACATTCCATACATAGATACATCGAAAATGCTTTCTATTGCCTCGAGGTTCAAACTCTCTCTATTAGTCGTTGTGCCTCCTATTGAATACACTGGGCCTAACCACTCGGCCACTCTCCCAAAAGCATCCTACAGGATTTGAACTTGTGACCTTCAACTTAGAAGGTTGTTGCTCTCACTTATTCTAGCCTTCTAGCCACAGGTTATGCCAAAGAAACACATGTTCTTACATATAGATATCCCTCGAAAATGCTTTCCATTGCGTCCAAGTTCGAACTCTCTCGATCCGTCTCGCCTTTCAACTCCGGATTATGCCAAAGACAAACATTCCATTACATAGATCCATCAAACATGGTACTTTCCATAGCGTCAAAGGTTCGAACTCTCACGGTTTGTGAAAACAAACACGAACCATCACAATGGTGAACAGAAACACTGTCATCATTTGCTCGCACTAGCGTCCATAGCGCCGCCCTATTGAATACGATTCTCGATATTGAAACCCGCGAAGCGATCACTTCCAGAAACAAGTAGACTATCTATAGACTAGAGAACGCCTTCCATCCCCTCGTGCCGGCCTGTCTTGCATCGCGGCTAGAACAACGAGGTTGACACACTGGGACATAACGCCTTAGGACGGCTGGCACTCGTATTTCCTCCTCCCCATCTTTCCCCCCGAATAGATCGTTCTTCACTGTAGCTCTATCATCCTCTATGTGGGGAAACTTTCAGGGGATAATTGGTAGAAAGAGCCCACGCCAAAACCTTTTCGGTTTTGGCCACCCAAAGTTCGGCCGTTTGGTACTACCGGCCCAAACAACTTTCCCCTGGGTGAGAGGCGCCTTGGCGCCGTGGCCACATCTCCCTGGGCCTGTTTTCACCGGTTCAAGAATTTGGCGCTGTTTTTGCGCCAGATTCATGAACCGGTAGGGCCCTTCTTTTTCAAAATCGCGTACGTAGGCGCCGTGGCCACATCTCCCTGGGCCTGTTTTCACCGGTTAAAGAATTTGGCGCTGTTTTTCCGCCAGATTCATGAACCGGTAGGGCCCTTCTTTTTCAAAATCACGTACGTAGGCCTCATTCGACACTTCAGGGTTACCACCGCCGGCCTCTTTTAAATATAATTGAATCTGGAACTGTTATGCACCCGATTCATGATCCCGTACGGCCCTCGGAACGACGCGTGGGCCTGTAGTACCCGACATGCGAGTCATTGGGCCGGCAGTACCGAACGGCTAAACTTTGTGGGCGCCTTCTACCGATTATCCCAACTTTCAGTCTATGTACACAGCAGTCCACTCATTGTAGCCGTAATCTTCCATTATGTAAATACACAGCGGGAGACACTACCAATCTGTATCTGCACAGCAGAAGGAACTTAATAAAACTGTATATATATATATATAGACAGCGTCACGGCGGCAATAATAAACGATCCATTCGAGAGCGACAATCATCGGGTGTAATCATCTTTCACAGATCATGAAATGGCCCTAGCCCATTCGCAAGTGCGACCTTCCGTTTTAATTTTGACTGAATCTGGTTTCGAACTTGGGTCTGTATTTCAACAGTTCAATGGACGTCCCAACTGAGCTAAGGCCCCGAGGTGCAAAGAGAGATTTAGCGGGCTGAAGCTCGACGAAGCCTCCTCTCCGGCTCTCGCCCGAAAGCGACTAAACCTGACCACAAACGTATACAAACGAACGTGTTCTGCTCGGGAGAAGACGGTCGCTGTACACACCCGATTTCATACAGCCATGAAACCCCACGTCCAAAAGACAGAAGACAACGGAACACGACGATAAAATTTCCAAGCAGCAAAGGGAGATTAGGGGCTCGCTCTACTGTTCACCATATGCATGCACAAGAAAACAAACATTCTGGGACTGCATCTTCCTATTATGTTCTAGCTGGAGATTCATTCTCCTTTTCCACAGTAGGTCAGTAATCGGCGAGGGCCTAGATCGACGGCTATTCCCGGTCGGTATCGACGGCTATTCCCGGTTAGACCGATGGTAATCAATGCGCCAGTTCACCCTCCCAAAAAATCTCGGATAAACTGACCATGATGCTGGTTTACCCTCTTCTCTCTCACACATAACCCCTACCCCTCTTCTTCCTCATATAACAACATTGGCCATGTCCCGGTCAATCGTGATAAGGGCGCGTTTCACTCGCCCCAAGACGGCACTTCCGGTAGTGAGACATAGGGTCAGATCCCGCTACCCTGGATTATTCATTTGTCACCCTCGAATGAAAATCAACGGTCAGAAATAAACAATAGGGGCTAGTGGGATCTGGCACTAAGGGTACTCCCTCCAAACCACTTCCACTACCGGTTCCTCCTGAAGTCGTGATTATTAACCAGCCACGATTTCAGGACACATACGGGTCACTACAAGAGCGCCCAAATTCATCCAAGCAAAAACGTTTCTACTCTATTTTTTTCCCACGGCCGATAGCTGGGCCTAGTATTGTTGGTTTAAGCACCTGGTCAACATTCCCACTGCCCATCCATTTTTCTTGGCTTTCCTTCGCTTTTTTCCCTCACTTTCTGGTTTTGTGACTTTCACTTCTATCCTTCATTACGATTTTTATTTTCATTCAAACTCACAAGGAACCATCCGTTCTGCTCTGCATCATTCCAGCTTTAACAGATGTCCCGAAAGACGATACATCATCTTCACACTGACCCGCCCCAGTATTTACTCATCCGAATCGATTATAATCCGTACTGACGACTCTATACTTCAACATTTCGTGGGTGTACACCAAACCAATCACTGGTCAATCACTCAAAGCAAATGACTGGTCAATCAATCAAAATCACACACAGGAACCTTCCAAGCCAATTCCAAAAAATGACTTCTCCACACTGAACGACAGACTGAGTGCAGATTCTCTCAAAAAACAGCTGATTACACAAACCACTGTCCGAGCACACATAGTGCTCACATGCACACAGTGCACATTCTCTCAAAACACAGCTTCCCAGCCGTTTCAAAAGCCGTTTCAAAAGGATGAGAGGCACTACGCATGCACATGGCATCTTCCAAGCCGTTCCAAAAGGACGCACTGAACCCACTCGAAGCTGCTGACACAGAGCCCTGCCCACGCAGACCGAACGAGGTCACTGTTCCTCGCTCACCAACGACCGACCCTTAAACACTCCTCAACACGGCGGAGCAAGCCGCTTACCAAGCAGAGTATCGTTAACTCGTTACCAAGAACACCGTCTCAATCACCCAACATCAGGAAAGAGTGTTAGTCGTTAACTCATTGTCTGTTCAAGGTCGCTGCGAGACATGAGGAAAGAGTGTTCATCGTAACTCGTTGAATCTGTGGGCACTGACACTCAGATTCCCCCCTCTGAGCACGTGTCAACTCCCCTCCCTCGCACACGTATCGGTCCAACGACCCCAGGACCCTTCGCCACGTGTCAATTCGTCCCTCCACGTGTCCATTCTCTCCTTCGTGTAAGCGTCATTTTCCCTCAGAGCACTCCTGGGACGATGAGCCAGATTACACCTACACGGTGCAATGATGAACCGATTCTACTTGCAGCAACCAAGTCCAAGTTCACTCCCTCGGACTTCGATTCTCGGAATCTGACCGCAATTGACGTCACATGCATCCCAGAATTGGCTATTCTAAATTCGCTCGACTTGAAGACTTCTTCGCTATTTGGAATCTACCTCTAAACCGGGAGCGATGCTACTCGCACTCAAGTGTACATCAACTTTCTCGGAATCTGACCGCAATTCACGTTACATGCGTCCCAGATATGCCTATTCTACATTCGCTCGACTTGGACTCCTTTACTATTTGGAATCTAATTCTAAACCGGGAGCGATGCTACTCGCAATGAAGTGTACATCAACTCTACTTGGACTTGGATTTTACAAATCTGACCGCAATTCACGTCACATGCGTCATCATGCGTCCCAGATACGATATTCTACAGTCACTCTCTTGGAGTGACTTCGTTTTTCTTGGAGTCTGACCGCAATTAACGTCACATTGGACTCCAAACTTTTGGAATCTGACCGCAATTCACGTCACATGCGTCTCAGAAGTGAATATTCTATCCACGCCAATCACTGTACCAAATGCTATTTCACATAATGTTCTGAAACTCCGATTGTGGCAGAACCGCGTTCACCAGAATGCGATTAGTGGTTATGACCCTCCCCTTCTCCCTAAAGTTCCCCGCTACTTCCCTGTCGGTATTGTGCACCCATATTATTCTTACCTCCACACGCATACGTCACACGAGAGAACCTCGACACGACAGCAGCTACCTGGACTAGCTATGACCTACACACGCATACTCTCGAGAGGGAACCTCGACATGACAGAAGCGACGACAGGAGCTTCGAGGACGATCCCATCGAGCTATACCTTGGGACTCTCCGATTGCGACTGCGGCAGGATGGCGGTGACCTCCCTCCTCTTCTCCCTGAACTTCTCCTCCAGCTCCCTGTCGACGTTGAACGCGTGGGTTACCGCTTCCAACGGCATGTTCTTCAACAAGGAAGTCGATCCGGAGAGGAAGGACGACAAGGGCATGGAGGACGAAGTYACCGAGATGATTTCCAACGGCTCCTCCTCCGACGCCACCTTCAACGCCGCGAAGAAGCGCGGGATCGCCACCACCTGTCCTGCGCGCACCTCCGCGTCCAGCTCGTTGCSCCCGTCCGGSCCCGCGATCTGSACGCGCCCCTTCCCTCTGATRATGTRMACGATGTGGTGCGCRTTCACWGACCACRCYGGGCCCACCACYGCKCCTGGCYKCAAGAACAGTCTGWACGCSCCCATTCCCAGCTGAMGCAGCRCTGGCATTCGGTGCGCATTCAGCAACCAAAGCTTCCCGCCCTTGTTTGCCACGTCAGCAGACGATCTGTCCAGCTCGTACACGAACTCGCCACCKGWAWGCGKCMAGAGACCGGACGTYRAGGATGCCCCTTGSTCTCCRYTGACGTMATCRCTCARTCCCAYGCCCACCGCCATCGMCASCTGACTRATTGWCGATGTTGTCGTCCRTGTCTGGGCSGCCTGATTGACCACGTTGTGACACGTGGCGGGGCTGRTCGCTGAGCGAGAAGGAAGTCTGACGATGGCGCTCCCGTGCTGGGACCGCAGCAGCCGCTCCACGTGGCTGACGTCCACGTTCCACGCTTTGGCCAGCAGATCCTTGCTGAATCCGCGAAGAATCGAACCCGTGTCCTTCTGRTGCTCCGCTGCTGCAGTGGAGGTCGACGACGCGCCCGCCAGATGAAAGTGCGTGCACTCCCCTGGYTGACGACCCTCCGAMGTGTCCCAYGCAACGAACGCCCGCAGCCGAGAATTTCCGCAGTTSACGGCCCAGCTCACCCAGCCTCGGGGAATCGCGAACACATCCCCTTGCTCGATCCTCCTGGCATTGGTTGGGAACCCGACAGGAGACATCAGTCCCACGTGGGCGGAACCTTCAAGCACGTAGAGAAGGTAATGGCAGTCGGAGTACTCGGGCAGCATCATGAAGCCGCCCTCCAACGTTACMATTCCTGCTCCCAGRGAGGCATTGGGGAWCTCCTCCAGAGMSCCTCCCCAGCTACTCACCGACCCGCCTTCCGCCTTWATCAGCTCTCGAAGATCACTCGTATGCCTGAGGTACTGAGAGGAAGCATGTCCTCCGCCAGCTGCCGCTGCGACTGCTGACGCGGCGCAGAGCGCCACGAGGAGGAAGGTCATCGCGTCTGCAAGCTTCATGGTGGTCACAGGTGGATAACAACGGAGACGAACAACGATTCGAACGGAAGACGAGCAAAATAAACGAACGTCGCGCAGTCAAGGCGCTTACGCACTCCGTTCCCAAGCATGCCTCCCGCTCCGGTTGCCTCTCACTCAGCACTCGATGACAAGAAAGACGAGCCACTTCTCAATAAATACAGCGACATTTTCTATCGCCTACTATACTCACTTGTCCTCCCTGTCCGTGCGGTAGCCCAGGCGCGACGGTCAGGTATTCGTTGAACCCTTTAACGCCCTCAACCGCCCCCGCCCTCCCCCGGAAATGAAGAGAGACAAGAAACTGAACCATCCCTCTTGGGAGCGGAAGTGACCACAGGATCTAGCCCCTAACAGTAACATGTGGACCAGAACAGCCAAGTTGAACCCCTTAACCCCCCATCCCCCCACCCCCGCCCTGGAGACAGAGACCCAGAAGAAGCTGAACCATCCCCTTTGGGCGTGGAAGAGACCACAGGAGTACAGCTACATGTGGTGGTTCGGGACAGCCAAGGTGAACCCATTACACCCCCGCCCCCCATTCAGCCCTGGAAATAAAGATAGAGAAGAAGCTGAACCAGCCCCCTTGGGTGTGTGCGGAAGAGATTTACATAAAGAGTTTCGACTCATGTTGTTCTGTTCTACATGCAGTGCTTTTTCTTTTTTCTTTTTTTTTTGTAAATGGAAAAAAGCTCCAATCTATTCGTGGGGAGCAGCACGTGCTAGGAGCTGGGAAGCGGGCCCAGCGTCCCATATGGAAGGTTACATAGAATTTAGAAAGTTTGAGATGCCGGGGCCATTACCGGGCTTTGGCTAAGAGAATTGGAGCTACTTAGGAGATTACTAGGACAAACTTCAGAATTGGACAAAATTGAGAAACCAACTCAGGAGCCAACCATCAATCCTCTTTACCTCACTCCGGCAAGACTTACGGCAACAGAGCCACCATCTCCGTTGCTGCTGTACCCTATTTCCATCCTACCAGCTAGACCCAGCACTACCGTCTTCCCCCGAACACAACGCACTCTCATTATGGCTGTACCGGCCCGGAAACGTAGCTTGCATACATTAATTAACAGGGTGCGTTGTGTTCGGGGGAAGACGGTAGTTGGATGCTTGATATCCCACCATCTACTTCTCCCACTCACCTAAAAGACTCAGACCCCCCAAACCATCCCCTGTACCCCACTCCAGCAAGACTTACTGCAGCAGAGCCACCATCTCCGCTGCTGCTGTGCCCTATTCCCGTCCTACAAGCTAGCCCCCTTGCTAGTAGGACGCGTAATATCCCACCTTCTCCTTCTCCCACTCACCTCGGTCTCTTGAGAAACCGTCTAAGCAATACGGAAAACATAGAAATAAACCTCATAGGTCCTACAAGTGCTCAAAAACTCTTGAAATCCCTAACAAACCCTTCCAAAGCACTCCAACACTGTCCTACTCCCTGCCGAGCTCTTCCAGGTCTCACACCCCCACATCCTGCTGGGTTACAGGGCAACAGAACTCACTCCAGCTCCGACCAGCGTTGTCCCAGCATCAACCCTTAGTTGTCCCGTGGAATGCCCACCCCAAAGCATCCCCATCTACCAGGCCTCATGCTCCTGCGTCAGCAGGTCGCAGGGCAACACCCCAGCACCAGCCAGCGTCGTTCTGGGCATCGAACATCCGCAGGTCACTGAGTATAACAGCATCAAAGCCACCTAAGAAGTGTTGCTAGGAATCCCAAGAGTCCAAAAACATTCTTAAGACCATCAATCAGCCATCCGCGTATGACCAACACTGAGATCTATTTTTTGAGATTTTTTTTTGTTTGAAAAGAAAACAGTCAACCCTCCTCCCATTCCCTTTCACCCCCTACTCAGGCTACTCTTCTTCATCTCCCGACGAGCCGACCTCCTCCACCACATAGTTCGGGACCAACGACCTCAGCAAAATCCCCTAGCGATGAAAAGCAGACTTCAATTCTTCCTCTTCCTACGACAAGCCGACCTCCTCCACCACATAGTTCGAAGGAGGAGGAAAAAGTAGTTCACTCCATCGCAAAACAGGCGCAGCACCCTACCCCCTCCACTTCAGTCCCACGCCTGTTTCATAGGTAGGTAAAAGACAACTCCTAGACCCCCTTATTCAACTGCATCCCACGACAAGCCGACCTCCTTCACACATAGTTCACAAAATGAAGAAAAGTGAAGGCAGACAACCCTCGACTTCCTCTTGCGACAAGCCAACCTCCTCCACCACATAGTTCGCAGAAGAAAAACGAAAGTGATCCACCATCTGAAACTTGCCAACCTTACCCAAACCACAAATACTAATTAGATCCTTCGCCTGCCTACCCTAAGCCAAAACTGACTCATGAGAGGTAAAGTTCATGCAATCCGAATTTAAAACCGAGTTACAGTCATTGTTAAGAATCAAGATATTAGAATTTGAAATCTGATTTATGAGTATCTGTATCAAGAGACTGAAGAATAGAAAAAAACAGAATACCAAAAATTTCGATTTTCAACATCAGTTCAAAATTGAGTAATCGTTCATTGAGATCAGAGCAAAGCTTAGATTTACGAATTTCCGATTATGAATCTTTCTCAGAAATTACAAATTAAACTCTAATTTGCGAATCTCAGATAAGGAATCTTACCCAGAAACTACGGATTGAAAACTAAGTCGAATTTCAATTAGGGATCAAAAACACACAAAATCATTCAAACGTCCTATGAAAAAATCCCAATTACGCGAGCATCAGAATACACTGTGTGTCCATTCAACTCGCAACGGGATTTATTCAACTCCGTTGAACCCGTTGAACGGCCATGAGGCCCGAGTTGAATCCCCGTTGAACGGTACAACGGGGGCTTCTCGTTGAAATCCCATCAACGGGTCGTGCCCAATGGGCCTCGGACACGTGGCACGACACACGTGGAAAAAAAAAAGTGAAAAAAAAAAGTACAAAAACTACCTTGTGTGTGTGTGTGTTTATGTGTGTGTCTGTGTGTGTTCATGTGTGTGTGTGTGTATGTGTGTGTGTGTGTGTGTGTGTGTG